ATATTTTGAGATACAAAATTATTAATAACTTTTTATAATCGATCTCTCCTAAAAATATTTTGGACAATATTAAAATAGTTTTTAACTCTTTTATTTTAGTTTTGAACAACTTGATTCATATTTTTCGTGGCATATTTAAATTCTAATAAATGAATAAAAGAAATATATAATAACACTTAAAGTTATAATAATAGAATTTAATTCAAAAAAAATGATGACTTGATTTCAAGATATTTTTTAGCTCCTTCAATAACACAAAATATTTAAAACTTCAGGAAAAAACAAAAAAGAATGCACGATATATGATATCAATAGTACTTTTAGGCTATGTGGGTTTTCGAATAATACTACTTCTACCAAGTTATCAGCCTTAAACCCGAAAAAAGCAAGAAAGAAAATATATAAGAGTATAAAGTTATGCGAGCGATCAACTCTTGAACAAACCAAGAAAGAAAATGAATATTGTAAAAATATAATTTAGTATTACATATTTTCTAATAAAATAGGTAAAAAGTGGAATATAATAATCACTTGTTAGATTTTTTGTTCATACAAAAAGAAGTTTGAAAGAAATTCACATTTATAAAAAGTAATACGATCACTTCAATTGGTTACACATCTATTCTTTCCTTCTATAAAAATAATATCTAATTTTCAAGGTAAAAACTACTCATTATTTTTTTAAAATAACCTATAAACCTATTTTGATATTAAAAAAATGGGCCCCAAATTTGAGGACATCAATCAAATGCTTCAGAAGCTTTACCCTATAGCAGGCCTGGAGCAAGGGTACCACCATTCTTGTAAACCATTAATGTCAAATCAAGAAAACCAACGAGAATTATAATTGCAACCCACCACATGGACGACACTCTTAACCCAATCAGGATTTTGGATAACATTATCACATGGCCATAACTCATACATCACCACCCACATATATTTACAGGACCACTCTCCACTACGTCAGTGCAATGAGAGAGGACCAGATTCCATCCACGTTCATAAAATATCAACGATAAATTTTGATTGTGCTTTTTCAATTGAAAACTTTCATTGCATTCAACTGTGACCTCATTTAGTATTTTACCTTAAGAAAATACTAAAGGTGCTGGAAAGGAAATTACCACCCACTGATATTAGCTACTAATAGGGCTGAAGTTATTCAATGTTCTTGTTTTTTCCCTTAACCACGGACAAAATAAATAAGGAAGAGGCTATAGTAAAATAATACTAGTAGCATTAAACAGGTAACCACAAGGCATGACATATTTCTGGTCTGTACAAATCAGGACCAAATGTCTAGTCAATTAATCTCTCCTTAAATAAACATTCCCTTAATATAATTATGAGTGCAGCGTACCCACTCTTGTCCTATTTTTACTTTCCATATTGCTTTCATTTTTTTCTCACAGATCCTTCGATCTCATGCCACACTAATGATGCTCTCTCCATTACTGAAGCTTGGCATTACTTTAAATGCCGAGTGGTGTCTAGTAGATGATGCTTGTCCCTGATCAAGTGACAAGGATAATCTCAGTGACAATGGTTCGACTTCTGAGATCTGGTTCACGTTAAGGTCAAATACTGTTGATGGATTGGGCATTGAAAGCATAGGAAGAGGGCGAACTGGCGTATACGAATTCACTTGATTTCGTTGCAACAGAGTTGGACTTTCTCTTGACTGATCAATCTGTGCTGGTAACATGATAGGTGCCACTGGAAATGCATTGGTTTTGGTAGCCTCTATAGTAGTAGGCAATGTTGGTGATGATGCTACAACTGGTGGAACTGGGATTTCTTGCTTATTTTTTCCCTCTTCTATTGGCATAGCTGATACCTGTTTGCCATAGAAAGAGAACCTTAGAAATTGAAGTCCAAAAAACAAATAGCATCACTAAAAATCTGAGTGGCGGAGAATTCAGTCAGTGTTCATAAAATTTGATCTCTTTTGAAAAAGCAAGTATAAAAATAAGAACTTGACACCAAGGAAAAATCTTTTTAAAGCTTACACTAAAAAGTACTTCAAATTCTCAAGGCACAACAGAAAAAGATGCAAACTGAAAAAACAACAAGACCCAGCAGGCCAGCACCAATATCAATTCAAGAAAAGGAAAAACTTACAATGAGAATTAAAATACTACCTCTGTTTAAAAAGAGTGATAGGATCGACCTACAAAAATCAAACCATCTAGTTTTCTCCCTCAATAATGATATCAGTTCCTTTATTTTATCTAAAACAGTCAACACACAATGGCTTACCACCTAAACAAGTGATTTCAACTAGTACAGGGTTAAAAGGAGAGAAAAAATATAGTTAAAAGAAATTGTTTTGACTTTTCGTTAATAATAATGGTGAGATAAAATAAGTTTGATAAAGGAAGACATGATTGAGTGCAAGTACCGAGTCAGTGGTGATATCAAAGAGGCTAGATCGGCGGCGACGACGGTTGAGGTTGCTTCGTCGGAGGAAGTACTTCTGAGCATGACTTGCAACCTGTGTCGGTGTACGTGTCTTTACGAAGTTTCTAGAGATTCCTCTCCAGTCTCCTTTCCCCACTTTCTGCAATCCTAATAGGAATAACTTGTGCTCTTCCTCCGTCCATGGTACTCCTTTATACAAAACCAAAACAACCGCAGCTCCATCAAAAATCAATCTTTAGGGGAAATGAACTTTTGTACAAGATCTAATTTTTTCTATGATTCGACATCAATTTTTGAAGTTTTGTTTTTAAAAATAAAATTTACATAACATAAATCACAACTTTTGTATGGTTAAACAATACAAATTTGACTCTGTACCAAACAAATTAGGAAGAAAGTATAAATAAAACAATTGTGCAAAAAGAGGGGACACGATCGATGAATCTACTAGAAAGTTGACTCAAGAGAAACATTAATTGCCCAATAACGGAGAGAAACAATTGAATCAAAGACGAAAAAAGAAATTCTGCAATTGTAAAAAGCGGAAAATAACATCAATTTTTCACGAAAGACAATCAATAATTCGATAGCAAAAAGAAAATAATAGGATGAGAGATCTCACCTCGCTTACGCTCGCGACCGCTGTTGGAGTGGTGTTGAACAGCGTCATCTGCAGAGGCATATCCTTCCTCAGCCACTTTAGATGTATCAGCGCTGTTGTTAGCATTTGGCTGTTCGTACTGTGAGAGATTGTTCAAACTGACGCTCTTCCTCATAGGATCCACTTTTACTCTCACACCAAACAGCATGATTTCTCCTCCTACACCGCCGCCGGCCACTACCTCCGCCGACGATTCATCGCAACACGCGCTCGACATCCTTATCGAAGAATCCACGAATCAATCGATCAAGTGATAGATATCTGTATAAACACTTTTGCTGTATCGTATATAACGCTTCACAAGAGAGAGCCGTACACTTATTGAAAGGAGCGAATAAAGCGGAACGGAGAGGTGTATTGAGATTTGGAAATATATAAAGGGTGCTGACAAGTGTGATGTTGACAAGGACCACTTACGAAAATTTAAAAATTAAAAAAAACAAAAAGATTTAATTTGTAATTACGATCTAACGAATTTCAACATGGTAAATGGATGTGGAAAATGTTTTCTAACCTTTCAATAATTTGAATTTTGATGGATGTTTCTGCACAATTAAAAACGTTCAAATATTTTTTTAAGCAATTGAAAAAAGTTTAAATATAATTCTCTGTGGCTTCTACCATGTCTACTACTGTCAAATTGAAATCAATTTTTCCACGGTAAAAAAATCCTTAGTTACAGCAACATAATGAGTCATATTTTAACAACGAAGACATTTATAATTCAGTAAATAATACTCCATCCATTTTAATTTATGTGAACATATTTAATTGGGCATAAAGTTTAAGAAAAGAGAGAAGATTTTTAAATTTATGGTGTAAAATGAGACACATATATTTTATTTGATTATAAATCATTGCATAAAAGTAAATTATTTCCAAATAAAAAAATATATCATTTTTTTTGGCACGGATTAAAAAAGAACCTAAATTAAAACGGATGGAGTAGTATTCTATTACGTATTATTACTATTTTAATTTGTCATTTTATCATTTAAATTAAGATGCTGTGATATTAATGATAATGTTTCTCTCGTGTGGCTAAGGGTAACTTTATTAAGCTTTGGAGTTTGAGCGGAACACGTGGCGATGAATTGACGGTTTATCCGAATCTTCGGTGTCGAGCTGAGTCTGATTTTATTGGAAGTCTAAACCAACTCATTTCTGATATGGTATTTTAATATAGATATAGTGTACCAGTCCTGATATTGGAAAATTTTTGTGGGATTGAGTTTTTTCTGCCAAAATAGAAAGAAAAAACAATTATACGTACTCATATCGAGTACAATATGTATTCTTATCAAGTTCTTAACATGTAAAAAATGGTGTCTTTTTCTCACTTTAATATCAATAATATTATTCATGATTCAAACAATTTTTTATTCTATGAACTTTTGCTTATAAATATAATGATTTATATTTTTCTTTGTTCTTACTGTTTTATTTTATGTGCATTGTCACTATTTGAAGAGTCAAAAGTAAATAATTATAATATTTTAAATTATTAATTCTCGTGATTATATATTTGATTCATCTTCGTTAAATTTGTTGGGTATGTGAATAAAATTTCACGTGAAAAATAAAAAGAAAAAAAAATTTACTTATAAGAAGTTATATATTTTTAATGTGGTGTGATTGTCTTTTAAGAAAAATCCTACGTGCTTGTTTTAAAAACAGACAATATCATATACTGTATTAAGATTATCTTAGGACTGTTTTAGGGTATCGATATTTATGTACGAAGAGAGTAGTAATGCATATCTGTTTGTTCTTTTTTTCTTTTGGCTTTGATTTTAATGGCATCAGCCAAGATAATTGTACTGAATTTTGACTTTGTGGCTACTTGTTTTGTCGGAATTGGTTTCGGGAAAGCAATAATTACTAAGGTCATTATTTCGTCAGATATTTAATTGGATGCAAATTCCAATCACCATTCAGAAAGTCTGTATCATCATTAATTCTCATCACTTTATGTGTGTGTTTTTTTTATTTTTCATCTGATGTTTGCTTGACATTTACTAGACCAAGTAAATTATCTCTCCACGTATAGGAGTTTTACTGCGACATAATAAAATAAAGCATAAAACTTATTCGCAGAATCACGCACTTTTATCAATTGTAATTAATTATGTATATGACATTGATTATAAATTTATTAAATTAGTGTGATACACTTTTTTTTTTTACAATTAGCTTTAGTGTACGTGCGTTGCACGTGTGTATCGCGTCAGATTCTTTATATTAGCTCATCCATAATTTAAATATTTAACTGTCATTTTAATTTTATCCAATGAGAATCAAAGCGTAAAAAATGATTATCAAAGCGTAAAAAAATTGACATGATTTTCACTTTTGGAGATTTGTGTTTGTAAAATCATTAGTGTTATTGCCTCTTATCAATCACTTCCCTTTCTCTCTCATTCTCTCTTTCTATTGTATTCTTAAATATTTGTTAGTAATTTGTTCAAATTATTGATCAATGTACTTTTTAAATATTCTAGTAATAACAATAATAGTAATAATTTTTATTATACTTGTTAAAAAAATTAGGAAGAAAGAATGAAAATACATGTATGAACCTAACATTTGATCTGGGATAGTCTATTTAATCAGAATAAGAATTTAATGGTATAAAATCAATATTCTCATTAAAAGAAAAATTAGGAAGAATGAAAACACATGGATAGCGCCTGCTCTTGGATATCTATTTAATTAGGATCAGAATTCTAAAGATATAAATTTCTTAGGTGAATTAAGTTCCTAAATATTAGGAATTTACATAATTCAAAGAAGGAAAGATTTAATAATTAATATTTTAGTTGATTTGAAATTTTTAAATATTAGAAAAATAATTAAATTATAATTATAATTTTGTCTAATGTGAAACCTATTTTTATGGATAAAAAAGGTGAACGACATTTCGATAGGGGTTTCGTGCTTTTAATATGGTATAGATAGATATATAATTCTAATGTCTTATCATAACTTTGGTATATGAGTTGTGTGTTTGCTTTAGTGGCTCAAACATAACAAAATAATATGTTGACTTGTAATCAAATATATCATGTAATAATATTATGCTCTTTATGACCTTAAAAAATAAATTCTATTTCCTCAAATACATAATATGAATTTCATCTTATTCCTTACTGAAATTTAAGTGAAGAATGCGAAAAATAAAAATAAAAACTCCATATTATTAGGTTTAATTATCATACGAATAATTTAATTGGATGGGTATTGTTTAAACCCAACAACATATATTTCTATAAAGAAATAAAATGATTATCATAAAAAATTAAGATAAAATATTAATATTTAGTATTATTATTCTAACCATATGAAGCCTTCATAACGAAGGTATTGTAATGTAATATAATTCTAGAAGGGTATAAAAGTTTATTTCATGTAAGTTTTAATGTAAACTCAGATAAATCATTACAATAGTGTTTGTAATATTTATTATTATTTGCATATGCAATTTAATTTTTTGAATCATAAAATCGAATTACATCTAACTGATTAGAAGCTATTCATTAATAATATTTAGTAACACGGTACTTGAGTTCAATTACCTCACATAATTTATGAATAATATTATTAAAAAATTTCAAGTTTCAGAAAATGCTGATCTCATTTAGTGAGCTCAATAAAAGAAGAGACTTGGCGCGCACAACTTCTCATACCTTTATTGTGATTTATGAGAACTTCTTTAGGAATATTTATATATATGACCTAATAGCTAATACTGAAACAAATAAATAACATAAAAATACTTTTATTAATAAGGATAAATAAAACAAATTGAAAAATTAAATATGTTGGTGTTTCGGAACGAAGAGGTTAGCCTTATAACTCATAAAAAGACTGAAACGATGTAAATCTAAAAATAACTAATGTTGAGTTAATATGTTACAATGAATAACTTAACACATATAAATATAGGAGCATTTGTTGGAATAAATACAAATAATAATAATAATAAATAATGGCTACTCGTTTAGAATACATTATTTTTTTTACTATTTCATCCTTATTACTTCAAGTTTGTATTTTTATCAATTTTGACTCCTAATGCTATATTATATTCAATTTTACTATATTTTCCTAATTTGTTTCACCATTAATGCTCGTCTTATGCTAATTAATTAATTCAAAAAACTTAATTATTTGTTCTCATTATTGTAGAAAATATTGCTTGTTCGTTCAAATTCTTTATATATTTGCTCATTTGTATTTTAAAATTTTTAATATAACTATTATTTTTTCCAAAAGATTTCTATTTTCAAAGAGTAAAAAATTAATGTGATATTTCACTTTTGAATCTTTGTATTTGTAGAACCATTAGTGTTATTGATTCTTGTCAACTATTGTTTTTTCTCTTTGCTTTTGTATTCTTAAATATTTTGTTAGTAATTTGTTCTAATAATTGATTGGTCTACTTTTCAAATATTAATAAAATAAATATATCACTTGAACTTGATTCGGATTAGAATTTCAAAAGCATATATATTGTGTATTATCATTGGGTAACATAAGAAATTAGAAAAGGCTATTCATTTTGTTTTCTAGTGTTATATTCGTTTGCTTAGGTTAGCTTTTCATTCTTAGTATCCTAATAAAAAAAAAATTTGTTTAATGCTTATTTAACACTAATTATAATTAGGAGATTAAATGTTCGAGCTTCTTTTTTTTCCGTACGTTTGGTAAAAGTAAGTATAAATAGAATAAATTAGCTGAAAGTTGAATATTTCTGCTAACTCAGGATAAACGATGATATTTTTCATTTGTCAACTAAACCTTAAGTGTTCGAAAATATTTTGAATTGATTTCCATGCTTATAGCGGCGGAGCTAGGATTGGAAGTGTATGTGTTCTAAATTTTAATAAAACACTGCTTTAAGCGATAATCGAAACTCCATCTTTTCCAGCGAACCCACAACACTTACCGTTGAACCAAGACCTCTTTTGTTACTGAGTTCGGCAGTATATATTTATATAGATTTAGTAAATATTTCAATACAAATACAGGGTTCCGGAAAAAATTATTGGATTCACCCGAACCCGCACCCACTATTGTAGCTCCGCCCCTGCTTATAGCATGCGTTTAGGACTCATTACATAGAAGTTCAAGTAAGGAAATATCTAATATGTAAATTTAGTTGATTTTGAAATCCTAAATATTAGGAAAATAATACCTATATTTAGTTAATTTAAAACTCCTAAAATTAGAGAAATAATTAAATGACTATTTTGTCCAATATAAAATCTATTTTTAAAGAATAAAAAAGACGAATGATATTTCGCTAAGGTGTTCGTGCTTTTAATATAGTATATAGATAATACA